AAGGTAGGACAAGCGTCCACATAGGAACACGTCACAACTCCGTCCAATGACCTTATTGTAATCAATGCGAGACAATGTGCGGCAACTGTTGTCTCTCGAAAGCATAAGCACCTTTCTGTGTTGCTAATCCATGTGTTTATCGATCGCAGGCTCAACAGTGCAATTATTATCTGATTAATCATGATGACCTTAGCAAGATCGATAAAGGTTGGTTTGAATTTGTGGCGACTTTTTATAAGGAATTTTTTTACTAGCCTGAATGTTTGTTTAAACCAATGCTGTTTCGCATTCAGTGAGCGTTTTTATGACAGGTCTTTGAGCCTTTGCCAGTTCCGGCATTCTCAACTGCACGGTCAAAGTAACCGGCCACACCCTGACTGGCTGAATAAGCGAAATTTACCCGCACATACTTGGGATTCTGCGCAACCACTAATGATTATGCTACTGCTATATCAGCTGCCGATTTTTTAAATGTTTATAGAACACATACATTGATTCACACGAAGCACACTACAGTAGTGTTTTTAAAATTTCTAATAAGACTGAAGACGATCGCGTGTGATTTTGGTTCATCGAAGTCCTTCAACTGAGTGAGTAACGTCGAAATTGCCAATTTTCACGCAGTAAAGCCATCTCTAATGATGGTTCGATGCGCTGGAAGTGTTATCCGATGGTTTTTAGGTGGTTTAAATCAATTTACCACAGTCATAACTTTATCACATTGTGACTTGCTCCCTCTTCACCTGATTTTTAAAGCACGAAATCACATTCACAAGAGGTACTCCTAATTTGCATTGTCAGTGTCCCAGAAAACCGCTAACACAAGTTTTTTTTAACTGCGGCAACCAGTGTTTTCTTTTGTGCACCAAACTGTTTGCACACAAAACAAAGTGCAACCAAATGTTGCCACAACCTGATTGGCCCAGCCTTAAACCGTGAAATTTCCTTGTAAAGGTGGACAGTATGACTCCAAATCTTCGAAATACTGGAAGCATCACAGTGGGTTACAGTTTGATAGCCGGCTGCAGGTTGCATCGAAAACCGATTTGGGCTCTACACACTTGAGTACCTCTTTCCGATAATTTCGGCCCATATTGAAGACTGCAAATTACCGCATCAAAAAGTCAGACCAATTTTTATCGATCTTGGTAAGGCCATGATGATTGATCAGACGATAAATGCACTGTGGGGCCTGCGATCGATAAACACATGGATTAGCAACACAGAAAGGTGCTTATGCTTTCGAGAGACAACAGTTGCAGCACATTGTCTCGCATTGATTACAATAAGGTCATTGGACGGAGTTGTGACGTGTTCCTATGTGGACGCTTGTCCTACCTTGAACCTTCCACTTAACTATTCGACCCCTTTTAGTTCCAGACTTTTCACTTCCTGCGGGACATCTGTGTGCTGAACCGGGTGCCAATCAGATCGATCCATCCGATTTGGGACTCGAACACACGTCTGGATGTCAACAATGAAAGTGAAGGTGAGGCAATGACGGGTGAAGAGTGAGTGATTAAATGCCAATTTTAAGATGCACCAAGGTGGAAAGGCAAGGTCACTTGTCTTATCGATCGAGTTTTGAGCAGGGAGTGACATCCAGGTGTCGCGTGCGCGTGCATTACCTGTCAGAAATGGGGTGTTAGATGGCACGGGTGTGGTCAAATCGGTGGTAGACACATCACCATTTCATGGCCATTTAACTCGCTGGAACAACAGCCATCGTGAATGATCGTGTCCAGAATCCTCCACGATGCTGACAGCTGCCACGTGAGATGAACTCGTGGTGAGGGAGGCGACTGGCGATCGAAGTCGCTATTTGCCTTCACCACCACGGAGTGTATTTGTGCAGAGACATCGTGGTGGTGGCGATCCTACTTTCCAATGTTCATCGACAAAGATGCAGGCGCCTGTGATGTGTCCGAATGTGTTTCCGACCAGTTGAAATGTGCTTGTAATTGGACGCTTAGATGGCCGACGAATTGGTCTCATCTGTGTTAATTAGTTATTCCACCATATAACATCATGCAATAACGAAGTTAGATTGGGGATGGCGTTGCGCCAAAGGCGCACAGAGATCCACCTAATTGGCGACAATCCTTCCTTCGAAATTCACCAAGATTTACTTTTATGCAACCGGACAATTTCTGAGCTCGGAATCGTCACATCAATATTATCAGCTGTCTGACAGGCTTGCCAGCTACTGCAGATTCAGGGACCACACTCCACTCAGAGAACATGCACTTCAGATATCCACGATGTCTAGGAACACTTGGTAAATTTCATCTCTTGACCACAGCGACTCACCTGAACAAGCCAGACGCTGGTATCCTAGCGTAGTCAAGCAGGTATGGGTGCCATGGGTAGAGTCAGTAGTAGATTAACAATGAGTCATTTTCGTTGTAAAGTCAACAGATCAACTTCCTTGAACTACACGTTAAGATGTTCACAAGCCACGATAATCAATTGGCCAGTCGATCCAGCCATTCAGCGTTCAGAAATACCAGCCTCTGGCCTTCAGATTGACCAATCAAATCGTTCTAGGTGCTAAACGAATGCGTTTGCAGTGGAAGCATAAATCACCTCGTTTTCGGCAATTTTGAGTTCGGCTTCGTGTCACCCTAATTTCTGCACAACTTGAGATGCCGCTGGCACATTTGTTCATTTTTTTTACAAACTAAGTGCAAGCCAGATGTGAAAATGAGCACTAATAACAACGTCTAGGCTTATTTTTATGTGCAATGTCAAAAATGTTTTAGGAAAATCGGCAAAGAGTGACTGTTGTCGTTTCCGTAACCCCTCGCCTTTACCAGCGTTTTCAGCAAACATTCGCATCATTGGAAAATTATTTTAGTCAAAACAAATCGCTGCGCGATGCTGATTAGCATGTTCAGAGCAAAATGTTCCTTCTCTTGTTTGTAAATGTTTGCCTTGATCGATTCCCACACAAAAATCCAATAACATTAGCTCAAGGTGGCAATCGATGATCAAGCGTCTTTCAAACACTCATCTCATTGGCCACGGGATCTTTGGAAGTAAAGTTTATTGGTTACTTGCTGTACATTAGTTTTAGACGAAATAAATAGAAAAAAGTATGCATTTAAGTGACCAATGGCAAAATACCTGTTATAAGCTGCAGTAATGTTCGTCTTTCCTGACACAACAGGCGACCTTGACCTAACTTAGAATGAATCCCGACTATTGGAGTTAGTTCTCGATACAATTGGTCAATAGAGCTAAATTAATTAAGAAAATGTCTACTTATTTCGACGATTAAAACTTCGCCTCATGCTAATGTGGTTATTTTTAGACAAAAAGAACCTTGTGTCTGCTCGTGATGTCAACCGATAAAGGAACATCACGAGTCCTGCCAAGTCTGCTATTACTGACCAGCCAATCAAATGGGTGTTAACGTTTATTCGTCTAGAAATTTGTTCCATAACGAGAGGTACTTGAACAGACGTGGTGGAATGACACACGTAAACAGAATAACAGAAACACACCCTCCATTTCCAACTGATTCAACTGGGCATGATTCCTATTGGTCATTGTTGTGGCTCTAATACCAAAATCACCACCACCCCCATCAACATCGACGAAAAGTAGGCACACGATTTGCTAATAGTTGCAGACGGTCTAAATTAAGTGCACCTTTCGTTCCTTAAACCACTTCAAGTCACGTGACACACCCACCCCCACGTTATGTCATCGCGGACTTATGGACCAACACTACGTGCATCTGTCGCAGTCGATTAGCCCGCACCAAAAACCTACATCGGCTTTCTCGATTGCTGTCATGTTTTCTCTTTTAATTTCAGTATCAAATCAAAAACAATTTTTTTTGCAAAAAAATTGAAGAATCCGGCACTAAGGGGAAGGCATTGTTTATGACACCCGAATCGTGTAATTCCTAAAACGGCATGACACCTACCTTTACTTAATGAATCTGAACAAGTTTTCACAGATTTCCGCGCATTTGTCCATCGTTGATGTGTGAAGTGACTCCAAGTTTACCTTTTAACCCGTGTAAATAGACTTGAGATATTTGCACGGCATTCATTGGTGTTTCATGCATATGTTTGCTTTGTAAAAATGCATAAAATTAGGAGACCCATTTCCTTTCACGGCTAAAAAAATATAACTGCGGAAGCCGGGAAAGTGAAAAGCGTTTTTTGGTCAGTTTGTGGCGATTGGAAGCCTAGGGCAATTTTCTCAAATTCACGCGCTGTAAAATTTGCTTAATTCTGGACCCTTTAAGCAATCGGATTACCGAAGTGTTTAGGTTCGGCCTCAGAATAATTTAATCACAACAAAAGGTCTAATCTGTTGTAAGCCTTGTGTCCATATTTTAATCCAATCTGAACTACATATGGGACGTACACAACTCACGCTGTTATTTCTCCTTACTTTCCTTCTTGGGCAAATGATTTGGCAAGGATGCTTAATGGGCATCTGCTGCCAGCTGAGAAAACAAGCCACTTATTTTGAGAACCAGTCATTGGCTAGTTTGAATTTTGCGCCAAAGAATTGATTGGTTTAAGTTCAGTTTTACGTTAGAACATTAAAATGGAAGGTCTGAATTGGCAAAATTGTGCATTTTCGAGATACTCGTTCTGGTCGTAGCATTGGATTTAATAACCACTAGTTTAATCCTCCTCTGCACGATGTGCGTGTTTGAGAGGTCAGTGAACTGTTGTGCGTCATCATTCCTGGTCAGGTTCTCACGAATACCAAAACAGTCGATGTCGACGACCCTCTTC